GCCGCCAGCGACGCCTCCTCCTCTGGCCCGCCGCCACCGGCCAGCGCCGCGTAGAACCCGTCCTCGTCACCGTCACGGATGGCCTCCAGCAGCGGCAAGTGCTCATCTTTGACATACTCCCAATCCCATGTGCTCGCCATCCTGTCGGTCCCTCAACGAGACGAGATGCGACCGTCCCCGCCCGCCCGAGCTGCATCCACTGTCCGTCAGCTGAGGCGAAAGCGCGCCATTCAACAATTTGCCATTTGGCCCAACCGCGTCTCAATCCAGAGCTCCACCTGCGCCCAACCAGGGCACACGGCCAGGCACGCTCGGCCGCACACCCGACCCTGCTGCCTCACACACCGCCAAACTACTGCCTACCGTGAGCAGCACAGATATTGACAGAAGAGCCCAACTTGGAGATCAAGGATCGATCCCCCATCCCCCCCCCCCCCCCCATCACCAGTAGCGGCTCGGCCAGGTGTTGATAACCAGCCCAGCATGGTCGATGACGTACCAACGGAAGTCCTTGCCCTGCCTGCCGCGACTGGATCAACCAGCTCTTCCAAACCGCACAGTCTTGGGATCGTGGCCCCCGGGTGTGGCAGTGCAGCGTGGCTCATGCTCACTGATTCGACCGGTGCCTCGCTTGGTGCCGTTGCGAGAGTTCAAGCGAGTCGTCGGGTGGAAAACAATCGCGATCGTTGCCTACGAGAGCAAGCCGGAGCTCACGCCGGAGCTCAAGAACGGTCCTGGGCGCCAGCGTTCTGCGACCGTTCCCGGAACGCTATCCCCAAGACGCGATGAAGACGCAATGCGAAAACGAGAAAAGGCTGATAGACGCGAAAAATTACCCCCAAAGTGCCATAAATATTACTTTTACATAATTTGAACTGTGTATATGCACATTTTACCAAATCTATTCTTTTCATACATAAAAATATTTATTATCAATCATATATTTATATATATAAGTGTATAGTGTGAAAGCATATCTGCTCCTCAAGCCTTCCATCACGTACCCATCAACAACCCGTAGTACGCACTAGCCTCGGCATACCCACATCCATGCACATCATCTTTATCCTCAGCATACATGCCACATCGTTGTATGCTACAATTCACGTGATCATCCTCCAATCGCAAGATATCGTCGATCGGCCAGCATGCTCCGAGGCTCGGCCGCCCAACTACCAGTCGATCCGCTTCTTGTTACGGAAGAAGCCACCCGAATGGTCTGCGGCATCGCTGGGGAGAGTGGCGAGGTAGGCGATGTTCTCAGCGGCCTCGGACGGCTTGATGTGACCACGGTGGTTGGTCATGTCGGTGTCGACAAATCCTGGGCAGGTACAGACGACAAAGACACCGGAGCCCTCGACCTCGTTGGCGAGGACACGAGTGGCGGCATTGAGCGCCGACTTGGAGAGGCGATACGGGCTGGTACCCGAGCCCATGTCGCTCAGCTGGCCCATGCCCGACGAGATGTTGACGACGCGGCCGTAGCTGGCGGCGACCATGTCTGGCACGAGGGCCTGCATCATGCGGATGGCGCCGAGCGTGTTGACGTCGAACGCCCGCGTAAAGTCCTCGATGCGGCTCTCCAGCAGCGGAGTGCCGAACGTCTCCTCGCCAATGATACCGGCGTTGTTGACGAGGATGCCCACGGCGCCGTAGGCGAGCTTGACGGCGTCGGCAAACGAGGCGACCGACGCGTCAGACGCCACGTCCAGCTCCATCGGCACCACGTTGCTCACGCCGGCTAGCGTCTCGGTCTCGAGCGCGGCGGCGCCGGCCTCGAGGCTGCGCGTGCCCATGATGACCGTGTCGGCCACGCCGGCGAGGGCCCGGACGGTGGCCAGGCCGATGCCACGGTTGCCGCCGGTCACGACGGCAATGAGGGGGGACGGAACGGAAGCCATGCTGGTGTGTCTGTGGGTGGTTGGGTCAGGTGTGTGGACCTGTGTGTATCGAGCAATCGAACGCGGCGGTCGTGTTTTGTCGCTGCTCCGCCAACATGTCGTCATCATTGCGTGGTGCGTGTGGCCCCCGTGCGACCTGTCGTTGTTGTTCGTTGTTTTGTTCGTTCGCCCGCCCGCCGCCCGCCGCCCGCCGCC